CCTAACAGCAGGAGACGCTGGGAATCGGTTTCAGAACATTTAGCTTCTCCCCTCTCTTTTTCCTCCTCTCCCTCGCTCAGCCTGTCCCTCTAGTAAACACGCACATTCACACGACACAAATGCACAACCAAACACACTGTTAGACACACACTTGCACAAAGAGGCAGATTCTTATGTGCCATCCCGGGTTTTCCCCTGTGGAGAATGAGAGATGATAAATGGTGCAAGTGGTGTGACGCAGTTTTTCAACACAGCCTTTTGAAAACCACACTTATTCAAGAACCGGATTTTATAGCTGCTTTCCTCAGACGATAAACATGCCTTCAAAGTTCTCTGCCGCTACACAAACAACCCATGTCCAAGCTTTTGATTCTTGGAATAGGCTGAGCTATGATTGCCACTTGTTTCTATTTACCATTCATGATATGCACAGATCTCCTGGATTTTCACAGCTCAACATAAAATAAACTTACAAGGCCAAAGAGAAAGGTCGGTAACAAGCATTCAGCAGCTACAACAGAATACAAACTGAAATGATAGAGATACAAACTGATAGAGAGATGGGAAATATCTCATCATTTGTCAAACACAAAGTCTATGATGAGCAAAGAAGGACAAAAACTTTTAGAAAAGAAGGAGGCAGAGAGGTCGAGGGAGATGTGCCATCACTGTGCTACTGCGAGCAGCAGGAGGGTCTCCAACACAAAACAACTCCAGACAGTCAAAGACCTCCTTTCACACACACTCCTGAACGCCTGTCCAAGCACACACACTCTGGTACGTTCACACACACAGAGAATGCAGACAGAATGCAGCATTGTTTGACCAGAGAGATATCTTGCTGTGTGTGTGTGTGTGTGTGTGTGTGTGTGTGTGTGTGTGTGTGTGTGTGTGTGTGTGTGTGTGTGTGTGTGTNGTGTGTGTGTGTGTGTGTGTGTGTGTGTGTGCGTCAGTCAGCTTGTCAAGTCCTAGTGGAGTGATCAAAGCTGGTACAAACCACCCAGAGAGATTTCTCTCTCATCCATTCATCCATCCCTTCTCTCACTCTTGATGCAGAAACAGCATCGAATTCACCACATAAAACCCACTCAGCCAATCAGACTGTGCTGGCAGGAGCGGCGCGGCCAATCAAGTTGGAATATTTTGTTTGCAATAATTCCCAGCTGTCCCCCTACAAGCACTGAACCCTGGATGGCTGCAGTGCACCATGGGACAGGATCAGAGCATAATGGGAGACGGCGTGGGAGCTCTGGCAATATCATAATGCCAAGTGTGTGTGCACGCACATACACACACATGCATTGAAACACCATGTGAGCTCTGCTGGAGACACTGTAACGGGGCCAAGTTCACACACACATGTACAATATCACACAATCACCCACATGTCGACGTCCTGACGCACATACACACACAGATACACACATGTGCACAGAAACACGCACACACACTCTACAGGAGTTCTTTGAGAACAACCCCAAGCTGCCAAGTTCATGATCACACACACACACACACACACACACCTCACAGCAGCACGTTCAGTACATCTTCACACCTACCAGGTTCACAAATATACACCTACGCACCAACCCCCACAACACGCACAACAACCCCCTCCTTTCTGGACACAGAAGCTTCAACACAGGCCCATACACACCCACACAATTCTTTCAAACTATGTGGTTTTAAATGAGCTGTGTGGCTGAATAATATGTATTTAAACAACATTAAAAAGGATCCTAGAATAGAAGTGTGTTCACTCTATGTACCACAGAAATGAGCGTCTGTAACCAGAGTCCGACAGCCAAACCGTGAAACATGAAATGACAGACACTGTGGGACCATGTAAAGTGGAGACACACTAACAACCTATAGATGCTGAATTGTAGAACCTGCCTAAACCGCAGGTTGGTGATCATAATAAACAGGACTTCTCAGACTTGGTGGAGCGGTGCTGACACCCACTCATTTCGGAGCCAATGTTAGCTAATGGCTTTTTAAAAGGCCCAAAGGGGGGTGGGGCTTAGTTGGAAGGCTGACACACGCACGCACTCAAGTCAGCACGAGAGGATCTGAACTAACATTCACCTCTCGTTGTGCGCACACATGTCGGTGTGGGTCTGTGAGAGATAGACTTCAATCGTGTATCACAGGTTGTGTAGCTCTGCAGAAAGACGTCCACACGCTACTCTAATAAGAGTTGAAGACAGGTTGGTAATGAAATGTTCAGGAGAGACCTGGATATAAAGCAGAAGAACTTGGACTGAATTCATGCTGTGTGCGATGATTTTACTCAAAATAGATTTTTTTAAATTTGGAGGGTCACCATCATCTTCGTTGGATTTGAATCCTCAGCAGCAACAGCATCATTTCCACAAACACCATCACCTTGAATATCATGAGTCACAGTGTCACAAGAGTAGAATCTTGGTCAAAACAACAATTTCTGTTTCCCTTTAAAATGCACAGAGACGCATTTTGTCCGGAGGAGGTGCATGTGTGAACGCAAATGTCTGAGTAAGAGCCTCTGCAGTTTCGGTGAACTTTCTTTGCCTTACCCCCTAGTATAAAGTTTATAGAAAGAGAATTTGATGTGAGAGCATGGCAGGGAACCCCCTGCTGGTTTCACTGCGAGCCAGTGGGGGGTTGATGACGCTCTAATACGACACAGATGCAAAAATACAGAAAAACTAAACGAAAACAAATGTCTCAAGGTAAAAAAATTTAGTGATACACACATAGAAGACACCAAAGATATGTAGAGAGTTTGTGGTAATAACAGCTGATGACGGTGTCTGGGTGGTGCAAACAAGATCACGTGATCTCCGCAGCTGAGTTAATACTTCACTTCCTGTCTCTGTCTGCTGCACCCGGCGGAGGATTTGTTGCTTTTGTGAATGCGTCTGTGCAAAGAACATCCCGCTGTGTTGTGCACGTGTAAAAGACAAAGTGTGGGTAAAGTCCGGACCCAATTCTCTGGACTTTACCCGCAGGTCACATCTGAAGACGGCAACAGAGTGATTTGAAGCTCTCCACCTGAATGGACTGGGAGTCGAGTCCGGCTCTGATGCACAGAGAGGATCAGCTATGTAAACAAAGCAACCGGCTCCCCCACAGCTAGGTCAATGTGTTTGTGTGTTTTACCCCATTCAATAGAGCAACTCTCCGAGTGACTCCTCACACAAAGGAACAACTTCAGAGACATGAGTCGAGTTGTTTGGAGCAGAGAAGATAACAGACACTAACACGGCAGACACATGCAGCTGGGAGAGAGAGGACGTGGAAAATGGAGCAGAATGAGGGAGGTGAAGGGGCAGCGGCACTTTTCAAAGAGCAAGCAAAAAAAGATTGAGGAGTTTCATCTGCCTGGAAAAACATCAACAGTTTTACGTTCCAATTATCAGATGTCTCTATACCAAAGTCAAATTGAGTCGCATGTCGGTGGCAAAGTGCAATTTATCAGAGTTAGGCGAGAGGCTGCTCAAATCGTGGCCCTAAATTGCGGCGTATTGATTTAACAGTAAACCAATAGAGAACAGTCATAATGAATATTGGTGGGTGTTGCTGAAATGCTGCTCCCCAAGGCAACAACAGCGACATCATGTCCTATTACAGCCCAAATTCTACACACACACAAACACCATGCAGGCCACTGAGGGAAGGTGATTCCACTTTACTGACTCCTTCCTGCTGCAGACCAGACAGATTAGTTTCCTGTCATGAGGCGCTCAAGTGGAATATCAGTTGTATAATGGAGCGTAAAGATTCAAGTAACACATAACTCTTGAGGGATATTAGGATATTACAGTTAATAGGGGATGAAATCCACAATAAGCGCTCGGTGATGAGGTCAAACTTAAGTGAGTGGGGCCATAAAACAGGGAAAATGCAGCGAGTTAATCAGCTTGATAAAACAACAGAAGGGTTCAGTCCTTAATGCTTTTGGATGAACATGTACAAGTTGCTCCCTGCAGAAGGTCACAGGGAGTGTGACAGAGAGGAGGATCTGAGACAGAAGCTTCTTACTTCTGAGGAAATAAAACTAACAGGTCTCACTCCACATAGTTTTTAAATTCCTCTTATTCTTCGCCTGGATGTGTTGCACAAACAACACAAGCCGAGTATGTGCTCATGCATGGTATGAGCTCTCTTTAGGTAATGATGGGGAGTTGATGACTTGTGATGTTTTATTCTCAAGTTTATCCCTAATGTTTGCAGCTTGTTTCTCCTGCAGACTCCTGTTCTTCTTCTTCTTCTTCTTCTTCTTTTGTTATCAGACGTGTATAATTAGCTCCATGCTCGTGGCGGCTGTGAGTGTTTGCGACTTCTGATCAATTTTCTAATCGAAGCAGCGAAGCGTCGTCTCTATTTTGCAAAGTCCTCATAGAGCGATGAGACATTACAGTCGCTCCTGCTGCCCTTCACAGATCTCACGTTCGTTAACCTGCAGCCTCAGAGTTTGTTTTACCAATTTATAGAAAGAAAAAAAACTCTGTCATGGAGCTGAGGTCAACCTGAGCTGCTCGGGAGTTTCTCTGCAGGTACATCAATATATGTATGTTCTTCGTTGGGGATGGACACCTTATACTTGCACTTCAGTTTCCCTCATCAAATCCGCCGCATATGAGGCAGTTGTCTTACATTAATGAAGCCTGTGTTTGTCGTTTCACGCAGAGAAACGTGGGCTGCGAGTTGAGCAGCGCAGTTAAAGCGGGGAAGCAAATGCGCAAATATACGTGATTTAAGCTTTGAGGACTTAACGTAAACAACGCGTTCACCAGCACCACATCAATTTAAATGGAATATGGAAAAAGGAAAGATAAAGTACAGACTGCCTCCTTTGCAAGGAGCTCATTCAGCCTCTCCGTCTACAACCGGGCACATCGCCACTGACACACACACCACCACATCAATGGAGGAGAAGGTCCACAGCTTCCAAACAATTCATGTGACTCTTTTTTAAAGAGGGGTCTGAAAGAGGAGACATCCTCCTGACTTACCTTGTCCGGCTCCTGGCCGTGCGAGCACCAGGAGGAGCAGGATCACCGGCGTGGCTGCGCACATCCTCGCCGAGCCGCAGCACTCGCGTCCTATTCCACTTCTCTGTCCACTTTTCCCCATTAGTGCAAGCGCGTAAAACACATAAACACGCACAAAAAACTCCCTTGCTCCGCACGGTGGGGGACGGTGAAAACTCCTCTCTTCCCCCCGCCACCACAATCCTCCTCCGCGGATCAATCAAAGGGGTCCCCCCAAAAACCCAAGAAAGGTGCGGGTATAGGTGGGTATAGTCCCGGTGTCTGAGTCTCGGTCTCCAAAAAGAAAACGGTGCAGGTTAAGCTGCGAGAAGTGAGAGGTGGTGGAAACTAACCACGGGGTCCCTCCACTCGTGTCAGTGGCACAGCCTCCTCTGCTCGTCTCTCTCTCGGTGTGTGTGAGTGCGCGGTCCCTATCTCCTCCAGACTCCCCGTTTACGCAGAGAGAGAGAGGGGGAGAGAGAGGGGAGAGGGAGGGAGAGAGAGAGAGAGAGAGGGTGGGAGAGAGAGAGAGATAGATGCCACCGCCCTCTAGCTACACTAACCCCTCTCTCTTTCTATACTTTAATGACAAAAAACATGATGCAATTAAAATCGCACTGAATTCATGCGTAATTTGCGCACTTAATGACATGCGTGAGTATGGTTCCACTGTCATCGCTGGACACGTTGAGGATGAAGAGCTTATCTGCCTCTTTCGCTCCTTTCACTCCATCTTCTAGACTTAAATCAACTCCAACAGCTCTTCCTCAGACACATATTTCACTTTTACGGACTTGGATTTTTTTTCTATGACTTGTTGGCGACTTCTAATCCAGTGTCTTTCTGTAGCGTGCGCCTGAGCGGAGCAAAACAAGGAGCCACGTTTTTCCGAGAGCTCACCGACTGATGTCTGCCCCCTGACGGCCACATGTACCCTGAATCTTGCCTGTGTGTGTTTGTGTAGTCCATCCACATCATTACAGGCAGTGTAAAACCAAAATGATGTAGAATTTTTTTTTATATAAACATTATGAAAGCTGATTTTGTTTATCTTGGTGCCTGTATATGTGGATTACATGGAGGTCACCCACCCAACTATTGTATATTCACCACAATGGCAACTATGAAGGAGTGTTCATTTTACAAGATTACTTTCACTGCCACCACAAACAAATAAATGATAGAGGCTACACTGCAAGAAACAATGATCCACATTTCCATCACTGTAAAATCAAGCAGTAGCTAGAGCCAATATAAATGTACGACCGCAAGTTTGTTTCACTGTTATGATTCCAGATTTCCGCATGTTTATGTCAACACAATCATGTGGCAACACATGCTAATCTTTGTTTGTGCACATCCTCTTTTTCCAAAAGGAAAAACCAGATATGATATATACTTTCAATTTGCCCCCTTGAGCACTCAAGGAAAACATAAACATGTGAGCAGTTGACCGATGGATAACTTTAAAACAAGCCTAATTTCATTTGTGTGTGTTTGCAGCACACACACACACACACACACAGTCGTCTAGCTAACATAACTCTCAAAAGTGTCGCTGCACAGTCATTTGAGCAGCACAGCCCGCATCATGCATTGTAAATGGCAATAGTAAAATATGTGCTCTGTGCCATTTGTCACCACAGCAGCCCCACAGCTCAGTGACTACCACTGGAAGTAGCTGCTACCCGCAGGGACCCGTAAAAGCCTTTTTATTCTGCCACTTTATTGGGAATGGGAAAGCAATAAGTAACACAAGAAACATGTGGCACTCTTGGATATGGATCAGCACTTACACCAGCAACAGTCAATGGCAATAGGGTTTTCACAGTTCCATGTGGCAGAACAATATATATATATATACTTTACTGCCAGTGATTTGAATGTGATATTTAAGTGGTGCATTAAAGGGCGGTTTACTTAAAAAAATGTTTAGCTTAGAAATGTACAGCGGAAGCTCCGACTAGCTCAAACTTAAATACACAAGTTTTTTCTTAATTTTGAATGTGAACCGGGTTCCTCCTCCTCATTTCTAACAGTTTGAATTGTTATTTCCACGTCTGTGAATGGGAGGCATGCCTCCACTTAAGCTGAAAGAATACAGATTGCTCTGTGTGTGTGTGTGTGTGTGTGTGTGTGTGTGTGTGTGTGTGTNGTGTGTGTGTGTGTGTGTGTGTGTGTCTGTGTGTCTGTGTGTGTGTCTGTGTGTGCCCAAGAGCCCAACACGTCTACTTTTAACCAACCTCCTGGAGGACTTTGTCGCGCTGGCTTCATCTCCCCTTTCTTTGAATGTTAGAATCATCAAACAAGCCAACATCACTTTATTCATGTCGATCATTATTACAGAGATAGATATAGAGTGTGTAGAAAGTTGAACATATTTTCCCATTGGTTGTCTGAGGCTGTAACCATAGCATCAAAGACACGGGGATAATGAGAGGGGGAGACAGAAGTAGAATAAGATATTAAAGGATATCACCACCTTGATAATGCAGAGACGAGGGTGAAAGAAAGGTGTTTTATTATTTAGAGCAGACTGTGGAAAACAGGGTTCTTGCTCTGTTTTTATATCGATGGTCTTCCGTTTTCAGTGTATTATATTAATGCCAATGTGCAATAATGGCAAACAGTTATTTTTAGTATAGATATTAGTTTTAATAGGAATAGTTTAAAAATGAATACTTCCATATTTTAGTGACTATGTTTAATCGCCTCCTTTATGAGAGGTTATATAAGCAGTTTGATGTTGCTCTTGTATCTGAATTCGCTGAAGTCTTGGTGTCACTGTGAGGTTGCCAGGCAACCAGTGGAGACTACAGGACAGTCCCTATAACCGTCTTTAAAGATAGACGTCATAGCAGCTTCCCCATAGTGAAGCCAAAACATTGTAACTGCCCCCTGGTGGCTGGCTGCTGTATAGGTCATGGACCCTGCCCCCCCAAAGATGGTTTCCGATCGATGCATGTTCAAGTGTTAATTTTTTTCTGATGAGATTGACTTTAAATAATAATGTGTATCTTTCTATGATAAGAGGGTGAGACGTCACAATTAGTAACTGGGACTAACTTGCGATTGGTTGGATGGGAGTATTGATGGCTCCACTGCTCGATCACTATTGTGAAGACTCAAATTACATCATCTGTGTGAAAAGACCGTACCTGTATCAGGGTTATTGTGGCTTAATTGTAATTTACATCAGAACAGGAGGAGACACTTTCTATTTGTTTGTCTTCACAAACTGTCTGCTATCAAGTTTCATGTGTGCAGCTGAATACAGCAGCACGAGTGCCTTTAAAGAAATACTAATGGAAAGCTATCCCAATTCCAATATTTTTTTGCCCATTGTTATGACGGCAGGTGTTTTGTCCCACTGTCAAGTGTGGCCATTCCAAAGTGGTATACACACATTTGCCTTCAATAATCCTCTTCTCCTGCAGCTGCAACTATAGATGCATCACAATGAGCAGCCAGCCACCGGCAGGATGCTTCTGAGCGTTCCAGTTTAAAGGATAACAATGACTGGGATGACTTTTATCCTTGAACCAGCGCAGATTTTCTTGGGTGGAGCATCCTTTTTCAAAATAAGAGCCAATCTCTTTCTGGCACCCAGCTCGATAATTGAACATATTGAAAAAGACACTCATCTCCTTGGAAAGTTAAAGTTCCAACGAGCTCACATCACCAGGCTCCCTTCTCATGACATTAGTCTATTGTCACTCTTCTGCTGTTCTGTCACGCTACCAGTAGAGATACAACCAACATGCCATCATGTGTGCTTACACCTGCACTATCTCTATTGCTTGTAACAACAGAGAGTGGGCCCCGTGGGGGTGACTAGGTTTAATCTCTTTAAGCAGTTACATAATGGCCCCCAGTTCATGTTTTAATCAGCGAATAGATGGCTGTGCCCAGGGACGAATAATCACATCTATAACTTTCTAATCTAATATCCAGCTACATTCAAGTGGATTAGAGAGGAGCAGCGAGGGAGAGGAGGGGCACAGGTGGTACACCTAGATGTGAGTGTTTGTAGGAGGATTTATTTGTGTGTTATTTTGAGATATAGAAAATAAGAGTGAGAAATCATGTGCTTCTGTTCTGAGTCTGCACGTGTGTGTGTGTGTGTGTGTGTGTGTGTGTGTGTGTAGGCACATGAATGTGTGTATGTCCTCTTACCTTCTATTGCTAGACACACTGTCCACAACGTCAGTCCTTTCAGATCACTTTTGATTTCAGTCGTTTGGAAGGTTGTTTGATGATGAGTACTGACAATCTCATTCCCTAGATGGCTGTGTGTGACCTGCCCTGAGTGAAGCTCACTGGGTGCAACATCACCGTGGGAACAAAAGTGAATGAAGAAATTCATCCAGACAGACAGATGGACGGATAGACAGACAGACAAGGAGAGAATGTATCAGAGTAATCAAATTGAATTGTTTCTGAACACACACACACACACACACACACACACAAACAGACACACATGTGCAAACATAAAAGCTTGCTCACTCGCATTGTAGGATTTAGCAGGAAAAACAAAATGCAGTGTCAAGGATAAATGAAATTGAAAATCCCAGTCAGCATGTGACCTCATACGCAGTAAAGACTGCATTATACATTTATCATAAAAACCAATGCTGTTTGTAGTTGCATTTATATAACTAATTCTAATCTGTGTAATGGTCTTAAGATACGCACATTACAGAACAAAGCATGAAGAAAATCAATGGAATGTTCATTTCTTGATTAGAAGTCGGACTCTTCATCTTCGTCATGCCCCAACATAGTTCAATGCATCTTATTTCTTTTGTGATAATTACACATGAAAGCCAATAAAACTCTGCCAGCTCAGTGAGAGCAGGTCACAGGGTCAAACCACTTTAAGGAAAGTATGTTTTTATATAAAAACAAGGGTTTTAGTGAATGTAAAAACAGTGATATTGATAAACATTTTTAAGTGCTACAATAAAAAAGCAAGGACATAGAGCAAGGACTTTGACAACATAAGAAAAAGGGAAAACAAGATGAACAGTGATAGAAGGAGGGACAGACATGCAGGCGAGCAACGAAGCTGTGTTGCTTTATGAAAACAAGCTAACTCTTATCTGTGAAGAGCATCAAGTCAGTGATGTTGGAATTCAGACAGAACACATTGATTGACTCTCTGTGGCGATTCATTGTGTCGTTACTTTACTGTTCAAAGTCTAAGTGGTATTGTTTAAATGGATAGTTTAGCACATTGTAGAAATTAGCTGTATGTGCACATGCATATGCAAATGTTTATGTTTATGTTCATGCGAATGTGTGTTTGTTTACTCTATGCATTTTGTCTACAGGCCAATAAAGATTTCAGGGTAATGGGTTTGTGCATCAAAACACAGTGTCTTAGATACTCAAAGGTGTTTGTATCCAG